ACCCCCCACCGCCCCATCGAAGCCCAACCCCACCAGCAGCTCCTTGACCAGGCGGTTGGAGTCCCACAGCTCCAGCAGCGCCCCACTGTCATGGGACCGCACCACCAGCATGCGGCGCCCTGGGGAGTTGCACAGGCGGCGCATGCGCATGCGCGTCCGCGGGGAGGGGGGCCGGTGCGGCAGGGGAGCATGGGCATGTGAGGAGGGGCTTCGCAGCCCGCACGGCGCCGCGAGCGAAGGAGCGGACGTGACGGGACGCATGCGCCCGGCGACACAAGGCGTGCGGCGCAGGGGCCACGCACGCGGAACGCGCGGTGGCGCCGGGGCAGCCCGTGGGGGCGCGGAAGCGGGAGGGACACCGGGTGCGAGGCGGGCGGTGGCGGCCGCGGGGCGCGAGGGGGCGGGCGCACCGGATGGGGAGACCGATTGCAGCTCGCTACCGGGCAGCTCAGAGGGCACGCCGCTGACAAACGCCGCGCCCGGCACCGCGGGGTCGGGCACATGCACCGTGTGGACGAGCTGGCGCTTTGAGTTGGCCGGCAGGTTGTGCTGCGCGGACTGCACCTGCGATCGGGGGCGGGGCGGGGGGCCGCAAATGCGCCGCGGCGCGGGGCCGGGCGCCCGGGTTTTGGGGGATCATTGACCTAGGTGGCCACGTCAGTCTGGGGCCTAGGGGCGAGCGTGAGGCGGGTCTCTGGCGGCAAAAAGAGGCACATGTGGGGCGCATGTGGGCCTGTGAGAAGCCTCGATGCAGTATGTATGCCGTGCCCTCTCAAAATTGCCGCAGGTGATCACAGGGAAGGGGCGGGCCTTGATGGTAACTGCTTACCGTGATCTGCACTCCCTTGCCGACGCGCGCAGGCCGCAAGGTGGCCTTGCTGATCAGGGGGATGCTCGTCAGCTGCTCCAGCAGCCGCGCCTCCGCCTCCATGCCGCTCGGCACCTCATTGCTGCCGCGCTTTTGCTGCTCGCCGCCCTTGAGCGCAGGCTCTCGAGCGGCGGTGGCCATGATGGCGCGTGCTTCGGCCGCGGATCGCGCGCGACGTGCTGCAAAAAGAGATCGTGCTGAAGGTTGTCTGTTACAAGATAGGGCTCGCACTGAATGGGACAGGCGGGAAGCGAGCATCCCCACAGAGCAGATCTATATTTTGAGATAGGGCTAATCCGCCAGCAACCGCATCTTCGTATCAGTTATTCTATGGCCGTCTGACCTGTGTGCACGATGGTTTCACTCTCGTGGGGTGATGCGAGTGTGTGATGGCGCCCCCGCAGGTGTGGATTTTATGACATCCCACCCATGCACACATTTGCCTCTGATCTCTCATGCAGTTGCAGATGATACACATGCCAGCCCCCGCAGTTACTCAAGTGGGCCAGGAACCAACGGATGGCGGTGGCGATGAGTTGACCGCTGGCGCTGCATGCGGCCTGAGCAAAAGAGGCCTTCAGCTGAATGCGGGTGTCGTTTTGACCTCATTGGTTTTCACGAATAAAGCTGTTGCCATCTGGTCTCCTGCCCGTGCCTGCCCCTGCCCCTGGCGCCCAAGCTGCTTGGGTAGTGGACTTCGATTTCACCACCTCATTGTGGGCATTCTGCCCCATCCGCGCGCAGCCACAGCCCTGTTGCGCCAGTCAAAACGGTCAAACACTTCGCCATACACAGCCACAGCGCTGAAACCCTGCCATCATTCCAAGCACAGGACTGTATCCAGGTTCAATAGTATTACAGCTGGGTGCGAATCGCGGAGTTTTGGAGCAACAGGTTCCAGGGGCATGCATTTGTTGTCAGTGTGTGTGCGGAGTAGCAAGCATCAGGACGGCTGCCGACCAACAAACTGTGGTGCAGGCGGGCGCGCCGCGCTGGACGCAAGGTGCACGCGAAAAATATGGTAGTGGGGGATGGGCAATCGATTGTATGTGCCAACTCTACTATTCGGGGAAATCCTACGCGAGGTTTCGGGCGGCCGCCAAGTGGAGGGCCAGGCGCAGGTGTTGCCTGTTGCCGTCGCATAACAGTATGGGATAGAAGTGCTGGGCGGCAGAGCGTTGAAGTGTGTGGCGCAACCCGCGCCACAGGAAAGACAACGGGTGGGGGGCGGAAGCAGGCGTCCAAACTAGCTCCCTGGCATCCCCCTGTGCATGCATGCGCGGTGGCTGCATGGCACTGCGCCGCGGCACGGTGTGCAGTGCGACCAAACACTTTGCTGGGCTCTCGAGTGGGGAGGCTTGCGCGTGCGCGCACGCACTGCGCGCGGAAACAGGCGCCCGGGCCCGCCTGGCTTGTAGTCGCAAAGGGCGAATGAGCCGGGGCGCTTTTGGCTGAGCGCGGAGGGACAAGCCCCAGGAAGCCGACACCCAAGGGGTTCCACACCCACCATAAGTGGCGCGGTGGCATCCTGCCGACCTGAATCACCGCAGTGGGTGGCCGCGGGCCGCACAACACGCAGCTTTGCATGCAAGGCCAGCCTGCCTCAGGGGGCGCCCCAGCGGCCGCTGAGCACCAAAAGGGTGCGCTTGCAATTCGAGTGCCGACGCAGGCATGGCGCGCCTCCCGTCGGCAGGCGTCCGTGTGTTAGGGGTGTAAAGTGGCACCCAGGGGTGGCCGATGGAGGGCCTTTGCAGTTCTGTATCTCAATCAGTCAGGCGTGCCGAACAAAGCGACTGTCGAGGCGCAGGCGAGCAGCCGAGGGCGACCACGCAGCACGGCGTAGGTTGCCGCTCAAGGCCTGGCGTGCGCATGCTCGCATGCACAGTGCTGATGAAGGGGGGTAGCGCGCCGGGCGCCGAGCAAGGCGCCTGCCAGGCGGGGCCGGGACCTTGGGAGGCGTTTCCAGCCCGCACAGGCTGCTGCTCTGCGATATCTGGGCATGCGCGTTGGCTTGCAGGTTTGGGGGCATGTGTTTAGGACCCCAGCGGCAGCGATGGGGTCCCCGCACACAACAAGGACGCAGGCGTGCCATCTGGAGCGCACGGGTGCACCGAGCACTGCAGTGATGTGCTGGTGCGCGCGACAACAGGCGGCGCCGGTGCGCCGGTGCCGCCTCAGAAGACTAGGGACAGGGGGCGTGTGTTGGGATGCTGCGCGGCTGGCACAGGCGCGGGCAAGGCGAAAGCGCGTGGGCCGGCATCCGCCTCGCTGGGCGCTGGGCAGAGCCCACGCCACACAGCAAACATTCAACTGCGTGCACCGGCGGGTGCAACTCGAGATAGGCCCCTCCAGGGTGACCTGCAAACACCTTGCTGCAGGGCAGGCGGCGGCTGAGGCACGGGCCAGCCGCAACAAAGGGAGGCGGTTGCCTCAGGCAAGGAGCAATCAATGTACTGCCAGGCAGCATTGCGAGACCTGCGTTCAGCGGGCCGCCGACCACACGGCACACCTGCCCCTATCACCCCTGCCGGAAGGGGCATTGAGGAGGAGGGGGCCGCCAGGTGCAGGCGCGAGCCGCCGACGGGTTATGCTAGCAGGGTTTGCAGGGGCGCATCGCCGCCGCCAAGTTCCTAATATTTGAAGGCTGAAGTGGATTGCGGAAGCGACGGATGCGCGCGGAGGGCTCAAAACCATTGGGCTGTGTAGGTAGCCCCACGCAGTGTAAGTTGGTGTGCATGCGTTGTGGCGTGCGAGATTGCCCCTCGTCGCGACCGCAGACCAGGGGGCAGCAGGCGCAGCAGTGGACTAGTAGCGACGAGCGCGGCTACCCAGACGGTTTGCAGCCGCCCTGTGCGTTAAGCCTGTTTGAGCGCCGCGCGCCGCCCGTGAGCGCGCGGCGCGCTGCCGTGCGCAAACGTGTGCCGCGAGCTGGCGTCCAGCGCGAGCGCCAGCAGCGAGGGCGCGCACCACCCAAAGCCTAAGAGTTGCGAGACGCAGAGGGCCGCGTCGGCGGGCGCCGCGCCGCTGGCGCCCACGCAGGCCGCCGCGGCGAGCACGTGCAGCAGCTGCGCCGGAAGGAAGCTGCTGAAACGCATGCGCATGAGCGTGACCGCCGCCGCCTGCGAGAGCGCCAGCGGCGGCCACGCGCCGCCCGGCCAGCCGCCCGCCCCGCGCATCGCCAGCGCGAGCGCCGCGGCGGACTGCGCGAGCCGAATCGCGGCCAACAATTGCTCCCGGTGGGCGATGTACCACCGCCGCCGCAGCGCCGCCGCCAGCGCAGCCGCCACGCACGGCCCCAGCAGCGCGGCCGCGGCCGGCGCCGGCG